TTCCTTCCTTCCTTCCTTCCTTCCTTCCTTCCTTCCTTCCTTCCTTCTTTCCTTCCCAGTGGTTAGAATGCAGTGTTGCAGACTAACTCTGCCCACAGCAGCAGTTCGATCCTGACCGGTTCAAGGTTGACTCAGCCTTCCGTCCTTCCGAGGTGGGTAAAATGAGGACCCAGAGTGTTGAGGGCAATATGCTGACTCTATAAACCGCTTAGATAAGGCTGTAAAGCACTGTGAAGCGGTATGTACGTCTAAGTGTTATTGCTGTTGTACACTCTGCAGGGTTGAACATTGCAATACTGTGTGCAAATACCATTTTGTATGTTGTGTGCGTGATTGTGAGAGGCATAAAATAAGGATATGTTTAGATTTATTCATGGCATGGAAACAATAGCTCGGGGTTTCTGTTTCTGCCCTCCTTGCTCACCGAATGAAAGCCAGCTGCTGCAGAAGAAAAGCTGAAGAAGTTGTGGCATCTGTGTGGGTTTCACACTGGTATTTGGCTTGCCGTGGGAAAGAGAGAAGGGGAAAGATGGATGACAAAGAAGCCTTGCTTTTTAGTTCTTGATTGTTAAAGTTGTTTATCCCGTCAACTTTCCTTTGCAACCATGAGGACTAGAGGCTTACAGTTTTTAAGGCACGAAGTTGATTCTGAGGCAGCCCCTCACTGTTGGATTGGTTCTCGTATTGTGTCCATCCACGATTTGTTTAAGCTTTGCTTTAGTAGCTGAAATGTGTTAAAATATTAGTAGTTCGGGTTGGGAGTTAGGCTGTGGGTTTGAGTCTAATTTGCATCTCATAAAAAGGTATTTAAAGACCAGCGCTCTGGCGGACAAGCCCAACTCAAAACGCACGGACGACGTCTCCTCGAATGGCGACGAACTACATTGCCAAGCTCGGAACTCAGACCAACAGCCTTACTTTAAGCGGCTCACGTTCGCTAGGTTTGCGTAAAATGCTAAGCAACAAATCAGAATTTAAGAGCTGGAGTTATGCAAGGGTCGCCCTGAAGCAAAATGTGCGTCAAATCAAATCAGTAAATAAAGACTCTAAAGTTCCTACCCAGCCATTTGCATTACGGCTCAGTAATGATCAGAAGTTACATATCAGAAGCTGGATATTTCTTCAAGCTGTACCTGTGTTTTTCACAAATGAAAAGCAAAATTAAGTACTGAAAACACAACTTATCTTCTTTTCCCTGGTGGCATTAAAATACGAAGGTTTTCAAAAATAAAAACTGTGTACCAAAGCTACCCACATGGGTAGTTCAATCTTAGCAACTT